GTGTGTGTGTGTTTATTTATTTTTTCAGAAGAGAAAAGGAGAAAGTAAGATCATTATCTTAGAAATTAAAACATGGGTCAGTGAAATGTAGTGGTTTGATGTTATTCACAAAATTTCAGCATTMATACTATATTTCAGCTAGCTAATCATCTTACATATGATTTTCAATTCTCAGAAAAACTTCTGAGGTTGAGGGAGATTTTAGGTTATGTAAGACAATCAGTTCCCTTTATGGTGATATTTGAAAGATCATTTGACCAGGTGTTAGAAGTCTTGACATCTGATATCTGTCTTAGTTCAGGTAACTTTAACAAATTACATAAACTTATGTTGGCTTATCAGCAGTAAAAATTTATTTCTCACTGTTCTGGAGGCTCTGAAGTCCAAGATTGAGGAAATGTTAGGTGCCAGAAGAGTCTATGTCTAGTGAGGACTGGCTTTCTGTTTATAGACTGCTTTCTTTTCACTATGATCTCACAAGGCAGAAAGAGGAAAGGAACTCTCTATGTTCACTTTCTAAGGGCCCCATCCCACTGGCCAAGTCCTCATGATCTAATCACCTGCAAAAGGTCCTACTTCATAATACTATCACATAGGGGTTATGCTTTCAACATATGAATTTGAGGGAAACACATTCAATCTTTAGCAACTTCCTAGCCTAGTGAAAGAACTCTTGTCCATCAATAGATGAATGGTATGAGACACACACACACACCATATACGTACATATATATGTATATATATATATATATGTATATATATATATATTATGCACAATGGAATATTATTCAGCTTTTAAAATGATAAAGGACTTTTTCTTTTCTGGAGGTTAAGACAACAGATTGGCTCCTGGACAAGTTAGCAAGCCCCTGTCTCAAAAAATTTCTAGAGATGATGTAGCTTCTAGGTTCAATCTTGGATCTAATTCCCAGTAATGAGAGAAAAAAAAGGAAGGAAAAACACATGCTACAACATTTTGCTTGTATGTCTTTATGACACCATTATCTTCATTTTAACATATTTTAATAATAAAAATGTTTAGTTTACTTTAATCATGTTTTTAGGTCAGTTGTTTTCTTCTGATATCAGTGAAGGTAACTTTAATTTGTCATTAATTTTCTTCATATCACATTTTAGGATGTTATTCTCAAGTAAAATTTTCTCAACTAAGCTAAAAGCATCTATAGTATTTAGAATTTTATTAAACTCAAATACTTTCTGAACTCTGCCTTTTCCTTTTCCCATTGAAATGTCTGTTGGTGGTACAGGTGGAGATATTTTAGGAACTTAGCAATGTGTCTGGAGTTCAGAGGGAGGATCTAGGCTGGAAAAAGAAATGTGGGGATGGTGACTAATATGTGTATGTGTGTGGTGGGGATTTTGGTGAGGTAGGGATAACTCCAGGCTTTTGGCTTGGGCACTTGTGTCATTCTCTATTAGGTAACACAGATGAGGTACAGGAGATGTTAAACTTTGCATATGTTGAGAGTTGAAGACATTTACTTAACTGGAACTGGAGATGATATAGATTATGTAGTCTAATTTAATTCTTTTATGGATGAGGAAATGGAAGTTCAGGAACAGCTAGCTTATGTGAGATTTCCCAGGGCATGTTCTGCAGTTTGAGGCCACCTGAAATTGTAGGGAAGACTATGTAAGTAAAAAATACCTCTAGGTCACTGAATCTAGGCTTGACTTAGTCATCCTAGATATCAAAACAAAAAAACCCACAACTTTTTGTAGTCATATTGGTGCTCAAGCCAAGTGAAAATTCCTGCCTACTTTGGGGAAGAATTTAGTGTCCAGAGTAGGTTAACACTCTCCCAATATTGATCTATATTTATTTTGATTTCAGGAAACTTTAGACTGTGACGATAATAGGAATAGGCTAGGCTGGGCCTTTTTCAGGTGGAATAATTGGGCATCTGCATTGTAGCATTTATTGCATCTTAAAATGGTTGAATAGTTTGTTACCGTTGTAGATTCCTACTTGTGATTTTAAAATATTGTTTGAATTCCAAGGAAAGTTTGGGTACATGGAAGTAGGGTAAATGGAAGGGTGCTTAGAACAATAATTCAACTCTCTGAGAATCCCAGTGAGGCTCTATGATAGGTCAGCAAGTCTGTGATCTATCCGGAGTTTGATTTCTAATTAGCTACAGAATTTTAGGTAGATTGTTTCAACTTCTCTGGGATATAATTATCCATAAAATGGGGATAAGGGTGTCTACCACACAGAATTGTCAAAGGAAGTACATTTGGTTCTTGATCATTGTTTCCCTTCTTCATAATAACATTGAACCATTTAGCCAGCAGCCAAGTTGGTGTTGAAGATGTACTAAGGGTCAGTTTTAGATTTTCCACTCTTTCTAATCTCAGTTCCCAATAAAAAGACTACTTTCTGTCAAGTGAGAATGGTGGCCTGGAGTTGGGAGTGGGTGGTGGGAAAGCCTGGGAATGTTCTCAAAGGAAGAAGAAAGAGGCCAGTAAGTGTAGCAGTCCTGTGATAGGGTTCCAGAATGATGTCAAGGATTCAAAGGAAGGCTTTGGGGTTTGTCGAGGGATGCTGGGTTTCTGACTGCAGGCAGAAGTCTGTACCTCACAAAAGAGAGCTGCGACTATCAAAGGATGCCTTAGCATAAGACCAGGGTTGACAATTTGGAGTCTTTCTCAATTTAACTAATGAAACATAAGCCTCTTTGGGTGTGACCCTTAGAAGTACTGATGACTCAGATGGATTTTCTCATCTAACTATTGAGAGGTAGATTTCAAGTTAGGCTTAACTTCATTCAAATAACATTTAAATGTTTTCAGACTTTGAGCCTCAGGAGTAATTGCTTAATGTTGGTAAATTAGAACACGCTTTTAAAAAATGCAGAGAACAAAATCAAGAACCTCCATCAACAAATCTGTTTCTTTCCTGCAGAGTGGGGCTCCAGACTCAAAGGCTCCTTTTCTGGGTTTCTACATCCACTGCCACATCCACAGCTAGTTCTTCTAACAATCCTACTGCACAGGATTGCCATGGGGTTAAATGGCAAACTGTGCCTGGCATATGGTTAACATTCAATAAATGGGATAGACTACCATTCTGTTATATAATATCCAAAGAAGAATGCTTATTTCTCATCATGGTTAATGTTAAAGTTCATCCAAGTAATTTCTGATGAGTGTTTTAGGAGCCAAGATATATTTACTGGGAAAAGGGGAATGCTATCAGTATACTTTGGTGAATGCTAAATGATCTTACTGAAGTTTCCTAAAGGCTTTCTCTTAGCTTACTTCATTGGCAGGCAAGCTGACACAGGTATTAACTTAACAAATCTATTTCTAAGTGAGTTAGAAGATTACTGTATTTACTGCATAAGGTAATTTATGGAAAAGAGGGAGAAACATAATGTGGAACAATACCTTCTGAGAAATCTTGTAGAATCCATAGCACAACTTGCCTTAAACAGATTACCATGATTCTCATAATTTGCATCGACACTGATGAGATGACTTGTTGAATAAGTGAAGCGTTTAGCATTTGACATATTATATAAACATTATTAATATGGATAAAAATCTATTACCTTGACATTTCTGAGCTTAAAATTTGCTCATTTGCTACTTTCCACGGGGATCAGTGGTTCTTTCATGTTTTCTGAATATAACCGTCTGATATAAAGATCAACAATATTTATTTCATGTACATGTGACCGAGGCAGTCAGAAAATATTTTTCTTTAGTAGTACCCCAACAATCATACTTATTTTTTCCATTTAAAGGTCTAAACTCACAGTCCGAACTCATTGAGCTTCATACTTAAGAAATTTCTAGACTCTTTTAAAAAGAGACCTTTTATCATGATTGATTTTCCTTTAATTTGAAGGTTAAACTATGTGGTTTTTAAGACAAAAAGATGGAAACAACAAAAGTTGATATTTGGCCCAATTTATTATTGTTGCATTTATAAGTACATTCTCCCAATTCTCTGCCTTAAATCCCAGTGATGCTTTTAAATTTGTAACACGTATCCATCTCTAGTTTCTTTATGCTGAAATGTTTGACTTCAAAATGTGAAGCATCTCTCAGGAAATAGTAGTAACATGTAGAATGAAACACTTGAAAGATCACAAAATTCACTGTGAAATGCTCCTAGACATGTAACCCTTCATTATATCTGGAGTTTGAAATTTATGACTTTATACAGAATAAAAAAGGATATATGCCAGTTATATAAAATGTAATGCAATTAAAAATATGATATCTTATACATTTATAGTACAAATTGTGAAAACCTGTAGATGAGTCACAAAATCTGAGAAATTATTGTGATGAAAATAATTGCTTTTGTTCTTTTCTCCTCATTTTCCATAAGGTCAACTTTTAAGATCTATGTCTGTATTACATGAAGTTAACTTTTACCTACAGAACAAGTGGTAATAAGCCAATATGGCATGGCCCCCAAAGGTGATATTGAGGAAAATAGGATAATAAGGGAAAATGATTTAAAATATTAAAGTTTTTATTATTATTAGATGAAATCAACTGAAACCTGGTAAATAAGTTTTTAAGAAAATCAGGTTCTTATTGTTCTTTTACTTTATATCCAATAACTGCATCAAACTTAATGTTTATTCTTTTTTTTAAAATTTCCCGGAAACGTTGAGGTAAGAACCTAGAAGAAAGATACATAAAAATAATTAGGAAATAAACATTAAGTGCATTTGCAAAATATCTTCTTTTAAAATACTTTAATTTCTCCTGAATCAGGTCATGTTCCTCTTGGATAAGATTAAGAACTTTAAAAAAAAAAAAAAGATTAAGAACTTTAACTCTGAGTTTGTATTATATATTTTTTCCTATTAAATTCATTTCCTTTTCAAAAGGGTAGGAGTGACCTGAATATTTTTTGTAAATATACATATACATGTATATACACACATATACATATATATATATACACATGTATATACACCACATATGTACTTATTTTTGAAGTTTATATTTATTTTTAAAATAAATATACTCCTATGTTTTTCAGAATATCTAAGGGAAGAGGCATGAAAAACTAAATAATTGAGATACTAAAGGATTAAAAATAGGGCTGGGGATGTGGCTCAAGCGGTAGCAGGCTCTCCTGGCACGCGTGCGGCCTGGGTTCCATCCTTAGCACCACATACAAACAAAGGTGTTGTGTACGCCGAAGACTAAAAAAAATGTTAAAAATTCCAAAAATAAATAAATAAAGGGTTAAAAATAGAAACATGACAATGAAAAATAAGAGAGAATAGAAGCTAATTTTATACTTTATAATTCAGAATGTTACCTAAATGTTCCACTAAAGATTGGGGAAATAGAACTGCTAAACAGAAAGGCAGCCAATGCACTTAGTTTTGAGAATACTGATGAACAAATTAATTGACCTTTGAGTTTAAATTCCTCACATGTAAATGGAAAAATTAATCTCTCTCTCCCAAGTGTTCCGTGAGGAATCTTTTTTTTTAATTGTTTTTAGTTGTGGATGGACACATAACCTTTATTTATTTAGTTAGTTATTTAGTTATTTATTTGTTTATTTATTTTTATGTCATGTTGAGGATCGAACACGGTGCCTCACACATGCTAGGCAAGCCCTCTACCATGGAGCTACAACTCCAGCCCTCCTGTGAGGAATCTAGTGTTGATTAAAAATGTCTTGAACAGTGATAGTTATGTAGTATGTCTCATTTCCCAACATATAGTTAAAAGAATATTCAGGAGCTTGTAATATTCCAATGTGCTTGAGAGAAACAGAATTTTAAGTCAGTGTAATATACAGAGATATGACAGACAGCATTAAAATAGGGTTTGGAAACTGAACAGCCAGCCATCATGGGGGGGGAGGGGAATTAAGGCAATGACAGTAATTGTAGTTGTAATAATAATAGTAAATAGCAACACATAACATTCATTGAGTACTCATAGTATAAATACAGAGTACTTTACATGTTTTATTTACTCGTCTCAGCCTCAAAAAGTCCTACTGTTGTTTCCATTTCACAGAGGAAGAAACTGAGCTTCAAAGAAGTTCAGTAACTGATCTGTGTTTCTGTTGACAGCAAGTCCCAAACACATCTTCATTCAACTCCAAAGTACAAACTTTGAGTTAAAGTTCTAGGAATCAGAATGACTTTAGTGCTTTCTATGCGCCAGTCACTCTCCAAAGTGCAGGGGTACAGTGATGAAAAATCGGCAAATTTTTCTCTCCCAGAGAATTACATTCTAAAGGGCCATAACACTGAGTGCTCACCTATGCAATGAGACACACACAATGCTAAAAACAAGTTCTCACTCATTTCTCATCAAGGACACCTGGAGCCTTATACCTAAATGTCTAGGGCATATTCAACCATGGCTTCTAGCAGAAAGGGCTAGAAAGATTGACACGTGTCATCCGTTGAATATGGAATTCTTTTGGTATTCTAGATCATTAATTCTCAAAGTGTAATCTTTAGACCAACAGGTAACTTCTGGTGGCAGTTACCTGTTAAAATACATATTTCTGAGTCCCAACTCAATTATCCCATATTAAAATTTTTAGAAGTGAGATCCAGGAATCTATTTTTTAAATTTCCCTCGTGATCCTGATCTCCACCAACTTGGAGAAGCCTGAAGTTAGGCACCAGCAGCAAGAGGTTCCTTCTTCCAGTCAACTCAAGGCTCCTCTGCAGTTTCCGCTACTTACCTGAACAGCCTCCCTGCCACACTGCTGTCTCAGGTGAGCGAGTCATGACAGGGCGTGTGTCATGATGAGGGAGTCTTTAAGCCAGAGGTTTCCAACATGGGCTGACATTAGTATCCCCCAGAGAGTTGCTACATCTCTGAAAGCTAGACCCATCATGGATCTTAAGGAGCAGGTCTCAGGCATCAGCATTGTTTAAACCCCCCAAGTGAATTCCAATGTACTCCAAAGTTGAGTGCTACTGCTCCAAAGGAGGGCTTCTGGAATTTTAATATGTGTACAAATCATCTGGTATCATAGAAAGTTCTCATTCAGGAGATCAGGAGATTCTGTATTTTTAACAAACTTCCCAACACATTGATGGAGGTAGTCCATGGACCCCACTTGAAGTAGTAAAGCTCAAGGATCTCCAAAATGATAAAAGATCATTTATCAATTCCTATGCTTCACTATGATTTCCCACAAAATAAAAGGTGAATGATATCTGAGAATCAATATCTAAAACCTAACTAGGGTCTTCTTTAATCTCATTGCCCTATGATTTTTGCTATGTGAAAATGCTTTAAAATATCCTTCATAGTC